CGGGAGTGATGGTTGGATGACGACAGTTACCCAAAACCACCCTCAACACATTTTTTCCCCCAGCAGGCATTAGGGGCTCGACCCAGAATTCCAATGGGCAGCGGGGACTGCGGGAACTGTGGGATAGCTGCCCACAGTGCACCGCTTCCAATGTCGACGCTTGCCCCATTAGTGTGGACTCACAAAGTTGAATTACTGTCCTTAGTGTGGAAACACACGTTCGACTTTGTAATATCGATTCCACATATTTGATTTAAGTGACATCAAAGTACTCTCGTAGTGTAGACATACCCTTGGGGCTAGTATAGCCTCTCTGCTATACCAATGGAAAGACATTGCATGCACACACTGTCAATACCCCTGACTTAAACAAACAAATGGAAACCTCTTCCTGATCCCTTTTCCTGCCTGCTGTCCTCAAGAAGTGAAGAATAACCCCTAAGTCTATAGTAAGCTATAAATCACAGTCCACTGCTATAGGGATAGCATCCTCTAAAGCCGCAGAGTTTTCACTAGGTATCAATTACTTGTGGTGACTCTTATGAAGTTTATGGGGATGGAGCATTTCCAAGAAAGAATATTGCTTGGCCCTAAAGATAAAACTATCAGAAATAGCACTTTTGGATATGCAAAATGTAGTGATCACCAATCAATAGGAGCAGAATTCTACGCTACTTCCCATGGCTTGCTACAATAAACAACTATTGTGGCTTGCACTTTTATATGCTATAGGTCGGAAGGAAACTGGAAATATCTTCCTTTATTAATGCAACTGCCCAGAAAAAGTGCCAAAGATCTGTCAAGGCCAATAGCTCTGTTAATGCATTTTCCAAGAAAAGCATCATATTTACAGAGTGTAATACAAAAGAGCTGTGGTAGGACAAATTTCTTTACAGCTTCCAGAAGATTAGGCTGCCATGGCACATTTATGCCATTACAATGGTCCTTATGCCCAGCCCTATTAATGCTGCTTTGATTTTACATTTTATTGAAAATTGAAAGCAATTAAAATAAAAATACTTCTTAACTTTCAATGCAGGAACAAGTAGGTCCCAACAGGCTAATGTAAAAGGGCAACAAAAAATCTGCACTGTTATTTACAGTGATTACAGCCAAAATGCTGCTGCCAATTCTTCTGAGAGTATTTAGTGATATATGCGTATATATATATACTATATATAGCTATATATATATATATATACACACACACACACACACACACACCGCATACCAAACCACACGTGTGTGAG